TGCTTTTTTATCACTTGTAACATACATTAGAGCCCCCTCTCATTAGCATTCTCAGTTGTTCACTCCCTTTGTTAGCAGCAGCAGGTATAGTCATGGTTGACTACACCAAGCAAATGGGAGCAGCTGCACACATGGAAAAGTTATCTGACAACCACATAGGATTTTTCAGGCAGAGGACACCCCAAGAAACTGTATGGCAGCCACTCCAGCAAACACCAGTCTCTCAGATGAGAACAGACAAATGCTAAGGTTACACATTATTAAAGCAGCATTCACAACCACAGCCACTTTCTCTCTTCTGGAGCAAAATATCAATCCTTCTCCATGAGATAAAAACATACATCCTCTTTTAAAAAGACTCTGACTTCCCAAATTACAACCCTGAACTCCAAGTCCCAGGTAGCAAATAAGGCAGGACCCCCATGCCCCCCATGCATACATATCCCCATGCTCTCACCCATTCACAGTAGGCTGCAGAGTTTGCAGACGGGTTTTCAGCAGGTCAAGGGGTTGGAAGAGGAGTGTGGAACAAGTGCCACTGATGGAGCCACACACAAAGGCCTTAAGGACTGGATGCATCTGGAAGAGAAAGAATAGAACTTTAAATGGTCATTTAATTAAGAATGGCACAAGGAAATATAGCAGCTGGTATGTCCCATGTTATATAGGAAAGGCAGACAAGCTGACCCCAGGTGCTAAGGACTGTTGCTTAGGGCACAGGAAACTTTTTCAAACCTTCCTTAAGGCTGATCAAGGTTTTTTTTTGTGGTTTTTGCTCCCTCTGCTTTTTCTGGGAGATTGTTCCAGAATCTCCTTGCAATTCAGTAGTTGGAAAGAGTTTTCCAAACATCAAGCGTATTAGCAACCCTTTGGTTACACTTTGCCATGTCAAAGGAAACGGGTGTCCCCTTCCTGCCCAAATCTTTGGTGGTGGATTCACCATTCCTGGGGGTTTTCAGGATGAGACTGGATGCGGCACTTAGTGCCACGGTGTACTGACAACGGTAAGGTTGGACTCGATGATCTTTGGGGTCTCTTCCAACCCAGTTGATTCTATGATTCTATTTGTCCCAATCCCATCCACCTCTGCTCAGTGCCCTGCTAGCACCACCTCCAACCCTTCCCCCTGCACACCAAGCTACCCCACTGCCACGAGCACCAGTGGGGCCCTCTCTTTAAACTGCCCACAGCCCAAACCTGGCTCAAACACACCGAAAGCTCAGCACAGCGTGCTCAGTGGAGGCCTTGCCTTTCCAACCCACACTAGCTGCAGCACCTCTTGGGTAACGATGGGGCAAGGAGGCACAAACCACACCGCAGGATAAAGCAGTAAAGATCTGGGGTTGTTTTTCCTTAAATTATAGTA